TGGTTCTCAAACCAGAATTAATGCTACTGAGATGCGCTTGGGTTCCAGGCACGGAGCACGCTATTCCAAGGGTGGGTGTGTTAGTGAAGGCGCTCACGTGGGCGCGGGATTACGGCCGCAGCCACAGCACCCCTCTGACACTGGTGCTGCATCTGACAGAGGGGCAAACGGAACCGGCATCGAAAGGGTCGTCAAACACTTAAACACTGACGGAAAATAGAACCGTGCCAAAGAGAGGGGCCGAGGCGCCTCACTCCATGCTGCTCTCTGGAGTATTCTCATCAATTTTAGGTTAATACAGACATAAACTGTAGTGCATCTGTCTCAAAAAAGGGATTACTATTCTTCCAAAAATGCCAAAAGTAAGTAGCAGAGAAATCAGGATCCCCCAGGTGAACCGTTTTAAACCGTGCATACTGTCATACCAGATAACCTAGGAAAACAGAAAATTACAGGCGCTGCTGTTCTATTTTCTTTTTTGTTGTTGTTTTTAAAAGGAGAGACCTGTTTAATGAACCAGTTCCCAAGCCCACCAATTCTGACCACGTAACCACCTCTACCTCAGCAACTACACAGATTTAGGCCATACATTTTCCTCTACAAAATGCAAAGCATCAGATAGTCTAAGATTTCACTGGGAGAGGAAGGGAGGAGAGAGGGGATAATACATTCCAGCTCGTGCCATTTTAAAACAGTCAGGACAGAGTGTGCAGCTTCCTGCTTTGTAAGCCAGTTAATCAGTTTTCTTTCAGTGATTCACTTTCTAACGGCTTTAAGTGCTTTCTTTCATTATTATTATCACTCTGTATTCTATTCCATGACCTGAAGTTAAAATAGCAGGAGCGGATTTCAGCACGAATGAATTCCGCGCATCACAAACCTTCCACCAGCCGACCTGAGACCCTTCTATGAGGATCCCTATAGCACAAAAATCCTGACTAACTGTATCGTAACATGGCTTCTTTCACATTTAAAGAAGACCCTCCTACGATGTACACATATATTGCGTTCCCAATTACAAAGCAGTTCCCACCCAATATAAGCCATTTCCTAAAATCAAAAACGAAACTAAAGCAGCTATTAAAAGCCACAAGACAATTTCATCATGTAGCAGTGTGATTTAATAGTGGTTTATGACCTATAGTTATATAGTAATTTAATATTTCAGACAAATGACTGTTTTTTATCATCAGTATCATAAGGCATATTAAATACGAGCTTTAAAAAAAAAAGTACGAAAAAGACACACTGCACATGTTCACACGGTCCTAAGAGAAATCTGTGAATCTAGGTCATATGTCCATCATATTATTCCCCTCCCCCCCAAAAAAAAAATCCCCAAGGGTCACACTGAGGACCTAATGCATCACTATCAGTCCAAGAAAATAAAATCATTGAAATTATTTCTACCACTAAGAAATAATAATGCTGCAAAGAAACCAAACCTGTATCTGCCTCTAACTTGATTTGTTTTGGTTTACAAAGAGAATTTTTAAACTGCATCTTTAAAAGCAGTTGACAAATCTTTTTTTTAAAATCGATTATGTGAGTTCATTTACCTCCGGCAGCTCATTAATGTTTTTACTTGTGCAAATCAACAATAAAAATTGAAACTGCAAGTTTTCTACCAAGTATAGGAAAATAATATTATTATTAAAAGTAAAATTCCACTAACTGAAGATTTGAAAACAGTGAACACAAACATTCAGCTTAGGAACCATTATGATTTGTTAAATCGAGTCCTTCGCTATCTCTGACAAGTCTCCCCTCTCAGATATGCTCACCATCCTCCACCACATGTTATTACAATACACCTTCCTAAAACAAGCAGGCTGGGTGACCATATACATGCCACCTCTGGTACTTACTCCTAACAAATCAGCATCGTGGAAACTTTCACAGCATTAAGATACAAGAAAAATTATCTGGAAGAGACACACCCAGCACAACTCTGGCTAGTAATCAAGTTTTTCCTAATTCATTGTGCAAGCAATTCAAATAAGTCTCACATTACCTAATCTAACAAAATAATCAAGATTCTTGGGGCATGTCTATATTCTTCAATACAGAAGCAGATCAAAACTGATTTTTAGCACATCAAAGGCATAAACATTCTTTCCTTTTAACTGTTGTGTGCAAAAATTGTTTATAATATACTTTCCTGATTTCGTGTTTTTTAAATACGATGTCAATGCTAACTAACATTGTTCACCCACAAACATCTTACTTGGTCAGCAATGTTAAAACATCATCACTACAAATACAGCTTTAATCTGACCATAAAAGTATCACCAAAGGACAACACTGCATATCAGAATACTGAAAGTTTTAATTTTCTATTAATTACATGCTGTAATATAGCTCAATTGTGCCGGGGTTTTTTTTTTTGTTTTTTTTTTTCTCCTTCCCATGGTGGTTAATTCTGTAAAGGGCAGAATTTCACAAAAGCCTTCCATAGTCAATAAAAGCTTTCCGAATCCAAAAATTGGTAAAAAGTCCTGGTTTAATTACGTTTCAATTAGCATAGCCTCACCCTACAATTAAAGTCCATGATCTATTCCATGTCCATATTGAAAGGTTGTCATCAAAGAACTTAATTTTGCAAACGCTGAATGCCAGCCACCAGCATAATGTTTTTATACACTTAATCCTCCTATTAATAACTACAATTCATAATAAATGAAGCTTTAAATCATATGCAACCTTACATCTGCTTGCAATCGAGCACACTTATTATTTGTGGCAAGGATTTTTGTGACTGTACTGCCGAGCACTCGTATTTACATCAGCAGTGCTAAATGCCCAATGGTGAGAGGGGAGCCAATCAGATGGCAGATTAGATGTCAACTCCGAGGCAGCTGTCTGGAGACTATTACAGCCAGTTTACCTCCACAATTCAAATTCCAAACCTCGCAAAGGAGATCAAGTCAGTCCTTAGGCTCAGCCTACCAGCGAGGAACAGCGAAGAGTGCAAGGCACTTCCCCGTAACGCTGTGGGGCTGGGGTGACAGTGCAGGACAGAAAATCGAAATAAATACGAGCCAGGGAGCTTCAGGGCCACTGGGCTGGCGTGCTACTGGATCTGCCTAATAAAAGGTATGCACGGTCCACGACCCAAACAAATTCGCTTGACTGGGAAATGTGGTCCTTGAACACAGCCTCTCCTCTCTGAAGGTGACTCCTTTCGGGCTGCCCAGCAGCCGAAGCATGGATCTCCCTGGCTATTCTTAGGAAGGAATCGATAGATTTTAGAACAGTCTGCCCTCCACGTAGGGCACGTTTTCGTTCCTTCCGCTCCTCGACACCCAGGCCCGCAGGCCGCATCGAACACCCCCTCCCGAGCTCTCCGGTTCGAGGCGGGTCTACACAACCAGAGGCAAACCCGGGTTGTCGGGAAGCACGCCCGTGCGCCCTGGCGTTCCACGCGCTGGGCTTGGACCTGGAGAAAGTTCTCCGTGCTTCCAGTTCAGGCGTGGAGCTGGCGCTCCCCGAGGGGACCCGGGCACCATTACCCTCAGCCCCAGCTGCCGAGCACACGGTTTCCGCACAAAAGCCCCCGAGCCGGCCCCGCCGGCC